AACAATAATAATAGTTTAAATAATTTGTGTTTTTTTTTTTTGTTTTTTTTTGTTTTCTCAGTGGTTATTATAGGCAATAAAGTTCAGTAAGTCAAATCAAAAAAAAAAAAAAATGTGTTTTTTCTTTTAAAGAGGAAAGAGAAAATATGTATCGTCATCTGTTTGTAAAATAAATTTGTATAATTATAATGTAACAAGTTTGTATCAAGGGTTAAATTATATGATCGCGATTTAAAAACTCTGGTAAAATAATAGGTTTTTTAAAATTTTACTTCATGCAAAGCTGTGTACTTTGTTAATAAGGAGCATATTATTAAAAGTTTGCTAGCGAGAAAGTTACAAAAAATAAAACAAAAACAATAAACTTACGACTATAAAAGTAATAACACTTTAGTCACTAACTGCATTATAACAGCAATAAAACTATAATAGTGATATAACATTTATAAAGCACTTATTACTTTTGAATTTCATTCTTTGATCAAACAACATTATTAAATCCAAACATTTATTAAAGTAGAAAAGCATCTAAAAAAAATAATTTTGGGTACTAGATATTTTTCCAGATTTTGCGTTTCGCATTCGCTTAATTCAACCCTTGTTGTTACATTAAAATTATACTAATAAATTTTACAAACACATTGCAATTTGTATTTTTGCTACCCTCTTAAAAAAAAAGTTAAGAAAAGGAAAATCTTCTTTTAATTGTAGACTTCAAACTGTTTGTTTTTTTCGCCTCACCTTTCCTTGGAAGGCTTGCTATAACTAAGCGCTAGCTTTACTGCAATGTAATTATGCGGTAGATTTTAATAGCAAATTCAGATAAGGAGTCACTGGCAATTAGTTGTGATTGTTTTTTTACTTAGATAATTGCAATGTGGTTGTTTGTGATTATGATCAGCTGCTAACTAATTGAAGTGCAAGGTTTTTTAACACATAAAAATTACAGCGATTATGATTAAATCACATTATTAATATTATTCTTGAAACATACTGCCATTTTTAAAAAAAATTGCTATTTGTTGCAATGATCCTTTGCAACAATTCTATAAATCCAATTTAGCAATTAAATTTTATTCTTATTATTATTCTTGCTTTTTTTGATGTTTAAAATCTTGAAAAAAAGTTCAAGTTACTTATTGAAATAGCGTAAAGTTTAGTTGACATAACGAAATTTTACTAATTAGAATTCTGGGAGTGATATTCTGACAAACAAATCATTAGAGAAAAGCTGCTCTATGAAGTCTAAAGTATTTCTTATAAGACTTATGACTGTGATATAAGTTTATATTGGCATTAGAAAAAAATTTGTAAGAGATTTTTTGTTAGAAAAAATGATCCTAAAGCATTTTTTTAAAATGTTTTTTTTAATGTAATGTCGACAAGATAAAATGATGTATTATGTGTCATGGACAAAAAAAGGTAGAAAAAGATGTTGATTTAAGTAAAATTAACTTCATCTAGTTAAACTAAGCTTTCTTAAGAAACAACAGAAAATTTTGATACCTGTTGCATTAAAAATATTCAAGACAATATTTTAACTTCGAATACTATAAATAGAATTGATTCTTCTGTTTCTATATATATATATATATATATATATATATATATATATATATATATATATATATATATATATATATATATATATATATATATATATATATACAATGACACTCAAAAGTGAGTTGACAGGCGTGAATTTGCTGTATCGCTATCAAAAACCAAAAAGAAAAGCAAAATATTGCAAAAATCTCTTCGAGATACAGTTAATTTTTAAAAAATATTACAAAAATAGCAAAAAATATAAATAATTTAATATCACAATTTATAAATTTGGCTAAATCCAAAAGTCTGTTGACAAGTGTTTTATTAATATATAATCACCTGTAAGTTAATGAAATAAGCAGAATAATGGCTTAATTAAGTTAAATAATATTTTAAATAAGCATTTTAAATGTCACTGTTTGTTTTGAACAGCATATTGATAAAATAAACTTTTTTGAGATGGCACACCATGTAACTTCGACTGATAGCAGGATTGAAATTTATTGTTTAACTAAGGAAGAAGGAAAGTCACTGAGAGAAGTAGCAAAGATATTTGGATTGAGTGTGGAAGGTGTAAGAATGATCGTTAAGCGAATGAACCAGCAAAAAATGGCAGAAAATTAAATTAGATCAGGTCGACCAAAGGAGACAACTGCAAGAGATGATAGAATGATCGTTAGAACATCAGTTGAAATGCCTAACATGAGTTCAATAGTACTTAAAAACGAATAAAATTTGGCAATTAGTCCTCAAACAATAAGAAGACGTCTCAATGATGTTGGAATATATGGTAGAGAGATACGAAAAAAATTATTTATCTCTATAAAATGTGTAATTTGGACAGACAAATGCAAGTTTGAACTCCAATTGACAAAGAGAAGAAGAACAGTCTTCAGAAAAAAGAATGTGGAGTTTTTAATGCAGCATATGATACCTACAGTCAAATTTGGTGGTAGGTCAGTGATGCTGTGGGGTTCTATTTCATGGAACGGCCCTGGTGTTATTGAGTTAACCAAGTTTTTCTTGACAATGTACAGCGAAGCGTCTTTTTATCTGGACTATTTTATCTGGAGGATAATGATCCAAAATGTACAGCAAAGATTGTCAAAGATTGTTTCGCTGATCATGAAATTTTCAAGTTCGATTGGCCGGCTCAATCACCAGATTTAAATATAATCGAAAATATATGAGAATAATTGGATAGAACTATTCCTCAAAATGAAAGAAAGTCAAAAAATGACATGTTTACAACAATCAAACACAGGGAAGAAATTGACATTAATTTCATTCAGAAATTAGTACTTTCGATACCAAAACGCTTGCAAACAGTTATCAATGCTAAAGGCGGAAAATATTAAATGGATTACGTTTGCTCCAAAATAACAAAACTATCTTGTTTAAACTTGTGTTCTTGTCGCTGTCAACAAATTTTTGAGCAGCACCTCTTTGCGCTTTACCTAATTTTTTATGGTTCTAAGGTTAATCGACTGCTGTTCTATTTTTATTTCAAACATTCTTTTTGTTTTCAATTAAACTAAATACTTTCTACCAATAAATATCTTCTCATTCATAAAATAATGCCTAAATATTCACTTTTTTTAAATGTCAACTGACTTTTGAGCGTCACTATATATATATATATATATATATATATATATATATATATATATATATATATATATATATATATATATATATATATATATATATATATATATATATATATATATATATATATATATTGATATATTATATAATATATCAATATATATATCTGGAAAAATCTTTTCTGGAAATATAAAAAGAATATATATGTATATTAATATATGTATATAATATATATATATATATATATATATATATATCAATATACACATATATCAATATACATATATATCAATATACATATATATATATATATATATATATATATATATATATATATATATATATATATATATATATATATATATATATATATATATATATATATATATATATATACAGGGGATCTTCATTTTATAATAATGTACTCAAATATTTTTATTTGTTTCAATTTAAAGGGTGTCCACCTTTTTTTCCAATATAAAAGGAATAAAAATATATTAGTACAAATATTCAATACCAGAGGGAGAATAATTTAAATGTCTATTTATTTTTAGGGCTCTTGTATAATTATAGCAAAATGAATTTTGTTTTATTTAAATTCTATTTATATACACACTTATATACAAGAAATTTGAAAACAGCCTGACAATTTAAGGCAAATTGAGTCTAGAGTTTATTATTCGTTATTTATTGTTTCACTAGATGTTTTAAAAAGATCCTTAAAAAACTATAGTTTGTTGCTGTGTTTAAAATATAACTACACAGAGTTAGAATTTGTATTTGCTAAATAAAACAGATAATGTTCTTAATTTTTGACATATTTCAGCACTATGGTTCTAACGAAGATATTACTTATAAGTTTACAACTTTTAAAGGTAAAACAGGGCTATAATTAGTTAGGTTTTTTTTGTGTAATATCTTTGGTTGTAGAATTCTAGTAACTTAAATCATATTTTGCTGGACCAACAAAGTCAAATATTGCCTATATACTACTTTTTTCTTTTTAATCATTAATGTTATTAAAATCTTTTCTTTCAAACATATGAAGCCATGTTTTTAATTTAAAAGTTTTCATTTGTTTTTGCCAGTCAGTCATTATTACCTTATAAAAAATGTTCCTGCAGGTAATCTATCACTATATCTAAAACCTGATCTTCAAATTCTTTAAGAATAGCAATTTGTAGGAGCTTGGTTCTTCATATTTATCAAATTGTTTGTCTAAATATCAATCCCATAATCACTTGCACTATGTTGTTTTATTTTAAGAACACAATTTATTATTATCATTTTACTCTAGTTCAAAGCATAAAGCACAATTTTTTCATTATTATAATGTAATGGAAATCAGCTATTTTTAAAACAGTCTAAAATATAATGAATTAATACTTTATCATCTCTAATAATCTTGACTATAAATAAATATAAAACCTATAAACAGAATATAAAACCTTTTTCACTTAAGTTTTGTTATTTAAGTGAAATGTACTATTAATCTTTTTGGAACAACCACTGAAAAAAGGTTTTTGTTTCATATTTAGATTAATAAAAATGATAGTTGATAAAAGTGGAGTGAAAAAAATAAATTAAATGTTTACAATAAGGTAATACTATAGTGTACAAAGGGTTTGTTTTTATGGTAACATTAACAATTAATGTGTGTTCATCTGAATGCACATTATTATAACAAAGGGTTTGTTGTTATGGTAACATTAACAATTAATGTGTATTCATCTGAATGCACATTATTATAACAAAGGGTTTGTTGTTATGGTAACATTATTATAACATGATGCTGTATAATATTCAAGGTTTTACTATAATTTTTTTTACTATTTACAAACTAGAATTTTAATGTGCCATTTTTGGAAACAAGTGCAAAGACTGGTATTAACATAGAGCTAGCATTTGAAGCAGTGTCAAGGTAACATTTTTTTTATTTTTATTGGTATTAACATTTCTGTTTTATATAAATAATTTTTGTAGATAAGTAATTTGATCACCAAAATTTTCTTATCTGGTTCCTACTAAATTTATTTAATTAATTTAACCAACCACAAACTTGGTTTAATAGTTAATAAATAAGGTTGTTATTATCAATATTTAACAATAAAAATAAATAATTTTCTATTTTGTTGTGTGTGTTAGACAATGATCGTAAAAATTATAATAATATTCCTTAAAAAAAATCGAGTTTATAAAAAATTTACTTAAATTACTATATAGGAATTGTATGTGGGAATGGGAGGCTGTATTTTTTAGATTATTTTTACATTTTAATTTTATTTGAAAAACTTTGAAGAAAAGATCAGCACCACAAGCTATGGGTCAGGGTAACAACATCACTTTTTACCATGTTTAATAATATCTGTCCAACAACATCTAAAAATTTAATGATGTATAATAACATCTGTCCAACAACATCTGTAAATACAATGAAGTATAATAACATCTGTCCAAGAACATCTGAAATTTCATTGATGTCTAGTAACATCTGTGCAAAAATTAAATGAATATTACAGATGTAGTTACATCTTTTTTTTTTTTTTTCTAAGCATAACAACATTTGTGCAACTACATCTGGAAATTCTACAAGTGTAGTTACATCTTTTAAATTGTCAAAGTGTAATAACATCTGTGCAACTACATATGTAGATTTTATTAAATAGTAATGCATTATTTTACTCAGATGTTGTTACATATAGGGTTTTTTCAGATGTAACTACATCCGGAAAAAAATATTAACCATTTGCGCATTATTTTAACCAGATGTTGTTACATATGAATTTTTTCAGATGTAACTACATCTGAAGAAAATTTTTCCAGATGTTATTGGACTTGGAGAAAAATTAACAGATGCAGTTACATCTTCCTAAATATATTATTAGGGTTCCTTGACTTTTCAGATGATATTGGACAGATGTTGTTAGAGGAAAAACAAAATACAAATGATCTTGAACAAACTGCACAGATGATATTAGACTGCTTCACAGATGTTGTTGGACAGATGTAGTAATCTGTTTATGCAGGTGAGATTCTTATATAAGAAGGTGAGATTCTTATATAAGAAGTTAGAGATTCTTATATAAGAAGCTAATTCTCATCTGTGTATGCAGGTGAGATTTTTATATAAGAAGGTGAGATTCTTATATAAGAAGACAGTTCTCATTAGATAGTTTCAACATTGGAAATAATTTGAAAATAGGTTTGTTTTTATGGCTGATCAAGTTTGTCTGAGCCACTCCCTGTTCTGCATGTATGGATGCATAAATTTGTTCTAAATCTCAAGTTGTTAGTTTTTTCTATATTTGTATATTTTTCCATAATATGAATAATGAATGTCATTACATAATTTTTTTAGAGTTACAAGATATTGATGTTTTAATGTTCCATACTTTACCTGATGATGTGGTAAATTGGTTGACAAACTGAAGGTACATAGTGCATAATTTACAACGTTTTGATGTACATTTTAAATAGTGAAAATAATTTCACTATTTAAGAAGACTGGTTCTCTTTTCAAGCTTGATGTACTAAGTGCTCTTAATTTTTTTTTTTTTTTTTTTTTTTTTTGACGTTGTGATAAAACAATAGAGATGTTTTTAAAAATTAAGTTTAATTTTTAATTAATATCGGGGTATTTAATATACAGAAAAAAATCTAAATTTTCACATACAAAAACCATTCAGTTCCAATTTTAACTTTTTAGACATAACATTTATTCTAAATGATAATAACATGGTTACAAACCTACAAATTCTCATGATTATTTAAACTATAAAAGCCATCACCCTGAACATACAAAAGAGATAACTTTTACTTTAGCAAAAAACTTTATTTGTTTTGTTTCAAACCCAATAAAAATAGAAATCAGACTTCAACAGCTTAGGCATTTTTAGTTCAATGGAATTATCTAGTAAAAATCATCAATAATGGAGTTTTTAAAGCCCAAATAAAAGGACCAGCAGCCCATAAAAAGAGAAAAGAGCAAAATAGTACTTTTTGTAACTATAAATTTTGCATATATCTATTTTAAAAATTTAATGAGCAGTTTACATGGGATTATGAAACACTGTTTTAGATAAAAAATTAAAATCAGTTTTTGAAAACACCATTGAGGTGATTAGGGTTAAAGTGTACTTTTTTAAACATTCAATGCAAAGTTTTAAAATGCGCATTAAATCGGTTTAAGTTATGTTCTATGTACCTTTAGTTGGTCAACCATTTCATCACATCGGGTAAAGTATAGAACATAAAACATCAATATCTTGTAATTTGAAAAAAAAATCATGTAATGGATGCTATGGTAAAACAACATATAGGAAAAACTAATAACCTGAGTTTTAGAACTTTTTTACACATCCATACATGTAGAACAGAGAGTGAGTCAGACAAATTTGATCAGCTACAAATGCTATAAAAGCGAACTTTTTCTTAAATTATTTCCAATTTTAAAACTACCTAATGAGAGTTTACTTCTTATAAACGAATCTCACCTGCATTAATAGAGAAATGACACAATGAATATTTAAGTTAAGAAATAAAAAAATTTGTTCATCAATAGATTTCTTTTGTAATATACAGTTTTTTTGTTGTTGTTGTATAAGTCCTAATTATTTCCTTTTTAACTTTTTAAGGAAGTTAGAGATTAAGGATTTTTATATAGTTGTAATAAAAGTTTTTATACACAGCTGAAGATTATAATAAAAGTCTTCTGTGTTAATAAAAAAAAAACATTTGTATTGATTTTACAAATATACTTTACTTAGGGGTCGTCCATAAAGTACGCTCATAGGGGAGAGGGAGGAGGTCTTCAAAACAGCGTGCGAAAGCATATGGGAGGCGAATGTATTAAAATTTTCCAACCTCCTTCCCCCAAAAAAATAAATAAATAAATAAAGTGGTGGTACATTTTGCATCGACACTTTTGTAATTTACGGTATTTTTCAACAAAATTTAAATTCTGTCGATAAATTTGAATTTAGTTTTAGACCGATAAGTTAAAAATTTTACTACATAAGTGCCCTCATGTTTAAGCAGGGGGAAAGCGTTTCAGGGCTATTTGTTGACAGGTCTCCATCATCCCAATTTTTTACAAGGTCTTGTCATTTGGCATAGGTATAAACATACATAAGTTTAGAGTTGGCACAATGTGTGAAAGTGTCTTATCTGGAGCATCAAAAAATCCTGCAGGCGCCCATGCCACTCCTTATATACTGGCCCTGAATATACTCAGGGCCAGTATATAAGGGGTGGCATGTGTGCATGCATATGCAAAAAATAGGTTGCCTATTTTTTGCGTCAACAAAAAACAGGTTTTAGCAGTGCAATGGCTACTAGATCGGAGACCCCCCCTCCCCTCAAAAAAAACCCGTGTCATTAGGGTCTCAAAATCTTCCAAATTTTACCGCTAGGTTTTGCTAAAATAAAATACCAAAAGGGAATGAAATTTGCTGCTCCCCCACAACACCCCACCCCCTCTAATTATGGAGTGTGGGTAGCCTGCACTCGGTACTGGGTTTTAAGCTTTGTTTTCAATATTACTCTTCTCGCGTGACTCGCTCTTTACGGACTTAATAAAGAGGGGTGCCTGAAAAAAACGTCTGCCTTAAGTATAGTTTATTTTTATTTGATTCGTCTCATTAAACAAAAAAAACAAAGTAGGATTTTATTGGGAATCGTACTCGGGTCTTTGCTGTCACTGCCCATAACATTATCTACTCGGCCAAGCGAACTCTTCGATATTGCAAGATTAAATTTTACTTAAATTTATATTTGTATATATTTAATGATGTTTTTCAAATTGGGATCTATTGTCGCTAACACAGGGCTTTGGGGTCGTATAAATACTTCTATACGTTTTTCACCCCCCGCTAATTTTTTTTATTTATTATAAAAATTTATTGAAGTATAAAAGGTGGAGGAGGTACCCTAGATACTAAGTATCTTGGGTACGTATCTATACTTTGAAGGGTAAGTATCTATACTTTTAAGGGTAAGTATCTATACTTTCAAAGTATCGAGGGTATCTCGTCCACCTTTTTTTTTTTTTCAATTCGGGGTTTGGGGGTTATGAAAAACGTACATACTTTTTAAGGCGGATGGGGACTTAAAAGTACGGATAGCAACAAGGAGGAGGGGGTGTCAAATTTCAGAATTTTTGGCGTACTTCTTTATGGATGAACCCTTTGAAATTTTTTCTTTTGTTACCTGATTATTTTACTACTACTACTACTACTACTACTACTACTACTACTATAACTTTTGCGGAAGAGCCCTTGTGTTACGAATTTTGACATTGAGACAAGAGAAGCGTAAAAACGTTATTTAAAACAATTTTTTTTTTTAATTGCTGCAAAATTATAGGTATTTGTTATGTAAAAGTATTTTTTTAACTTAAAAATATTTTACGCATACAAAATTAACTTTTTATTTACTAGTTTTTACGGCTTGCGTAACATGAGGGCCAAACATAATTCCCCTCGCTATATGAAAACTTCGCCAAAAAACAACAACTGTTTCTGAAAACCAAGTAATTTCCCCCTAAAAATAACATAGTTCCACCACTCTTTATATTTTAGTTCCCTAAATTTTTTTTGCTACTTGTATTTTTTTTTTCCGCGCATTATCTTGAGGGAAGTTACTGAAATGTCTTTGATCGGTTCGATTTTGTTAAAACTTTTCAGTTGCAATCGTAGGAAAAGAGAAATTGATGTCCTATTTATTTCTGTTCATATAAGCGCAAGTAGTTAAATATTTTAATGAAGTTTTTTATTTCTGCTATTATACTATATAAATTAATATAGGTATTACTTTTTAATTGAAATTTTCATTATATGTTTTATTATACAAATTTCTTGATTTTAGTAACATAAGGGCGCACTTTTTTAAAAAATTAGTTATTGAAAATTTTTGATATTTTTAGGTTTAACTGACTATTAACAAATATCAAACACACTTTACTGTTTGCAACTAGTATATTTTACCTAAAAAATTTAATTATGAGGTTTTATACTTACTATCAAGCCCGAACTGTAAGGGAGGGGGAAGAGGGCCTTAGAGTTTTGCGACCGACCTTTTGTACCTTCATTTTAAATTTTCTTTTTAATTTGAAAACAAAAAAATCTGCTTGACTTTTTATTTTATGCAAAAAAAAAGACAGAGAGGCCTTAAAGGTTGTTTAATCAATCTAATGTAATATAAGTTTCTACTTTTAAATAGTGCAAATATACTAAATGCTTTCATTGAATGATTTTAATACTAAATTAACCAAATTGATCAGTTTTACAAAATATATTTTTTTTCAAATCACATTTTAATACATTTCTAAGTATCATAAGAGCCATAAGGCTTATAAAAGACTTAAAGATATTAAAACTTAAATATATATCTTTAATTTTTTAGCGTGCAGCATTGATTAGCTTTGACTTAAAAAGAACCCTGAGTTAGAACTCAATGTTCATGGTTTGATCCCGGCTTTAGCTAAATAAACAACTTTTTTTTTTCAAATCCTACAATCCTTATCTTTACTTGTAACTTGCAATACTTAACTCATTTAAAAATCATACTCGCATGTTACATCTTTAAAATCAAATTTTAAACATCCTTCAAGCGTTATAATAACGCTTTAAAGGTGTTTAAGAAGAACTAACGGTCTTATCTCAGAACTGGCAGGTGTTGGTATAGAACTTGAGGTTTCTTGGTTTTGAGCCAGAAATTTTTGGCGTATCTAATTTTGTAATATAACTCGAGCACAGGGTAAGATTTTTTGTGGTTGTCCTAATTCTAAATATGCAATTCAATATTCATATTTCAATTATTTATAAATATTGGTTTGCATAAAACCTTTATAGTTGAAGCCAGACAACTTGGTATTTACATTCCAGCTATATTGTTTAAAACAGTGATTTCTAGTTTTATATATCTATATCATAATTGATATGGATATATAAAACGATTTTTATATATCTACATCAATTAAACAATTTTCACAATTAAAGCGACTGAAATACTAACAAAATTATGTGACAATAAATTCATTTTATCTGTATAAATAAAGCGCAATTATTTGGAAATTACTACGCGTATTTTTTTTTTTGGAAACAATTCAACACGCACTTCTTTTTTTTTCCATTTAGAAGAAAACTTTTTGTTATTAAAAATTGGACTAGGGTGTCTCATTCACAAAAAATTTTATAATTATCACGCAACTTTTAAATTGAGGTTTGTACTAAGAAAAACAATACATACGAAGTATTTTTTTTTTAATAAAAAACTTTAGGGTCACAACAAAAAATGCCAAAATATCCGTTTTTACCGTCTTTATTAAGCATTTTTTCAAAACAAGTTAACAAAAATATTCCGTAACAACTTCAATTTTTACACAGTATTA